CTTTGTTTGGCCTTCCAAAAGAGGACACGACTAGAAATCAGTCTAGTAAAGTAAAAAGACAGTATAAGTCATTATAATCCGTAATTATGTCCCCACTGGATGCAACAAATGCCTCGTTTATAATGGGTTTTAATGTTTTTGTCTTGTTGCTCCGGCCGGGACAAGGCATCACAATATGGTGAGGGGCATAACATTTCCGTCACATGCTTGAGGTATTCGGCCAATCACAACGCACTGGATAGCTGGCCATTCAGAGCACACCTCGCTTTTCAGACCGATGAGCTTTGTAAAAATAGACGCGTTTCAGAAAGGCGGGGCATAGAGGAGAAACAATAATGTAGAGTATGTGGAAAATAATGTGTTTTTTGAACCTTAAACCGCATAAACACATTTCATTACACCAAATACACAAAATAATGTTCTTTTTAGCAACATCATATGACCCCTTTAAAAGTAACATGAGGGCTCTAAAACTCCCACTTCTCTCATCCTTCATTTGGACACCTGTGAGCACAATAAACTGAGATATGGTATCAGCTTATTGCTTTACCCGCAATATTCTCAATATTTACGACACTCCTCATGCCCCCAGAATGCATCTGTCTGATTCATGAGGCGAGATGAGTTGGCTCTTGACTGTGAATGTGGAGAACTGACAGCTAGTTTATTTTATTCATCCTCTCCAAGCTACAGAGGAATGTTCCAGAGGCAAGTGGCCTGTTTAAAAATCCACCTCATTCAGACACTAGGTATATGGATGTGAGAATAGGTCAGCACACAGACTGTAGACATGTAAATTCAATCATCACAGGATTGCGGTTTAAACTGAAATCAGATAATGTCCGGCTGCTGAAAGCTCTTTATGGTTAAACACACTGACTAGGGAACTCTGAAAGGAAAATGTACTGTAGCTGCCTTGACTACTAATACTGGACTAAATCCACAGTCAGCGGTTTAATAAAAAACAGTACAGGTTAGCTCTACAGGTTTAGTTCAACTTCAAATGCAGTTGATGAATTGGACTGTTGTAAAAATATGGAAAGAAAAACCATTTTGCAAAACAAAAAAAATAATTTTCTTTGAGGGATAAAGGAAATGGTAATCTGTGTCTCAATGTTTAGACTGAGTGATTGAAGCTCAGGGAAGGCATGTATCCTGATGTTCATGAAACCTATCTTGAATTAGTTTGGCAGTGCATATGGAGGCATTTTCACCTAAAATATGGGGCAAGTGAATAGTATTTGCACTATAGGATGCATTGGTTTTGCAAATTGCTCTCCTTGACCATTATACAACCCAAAGAAAGGTTCATCCCACTTAATGTCTTCCAAAACATGGCTGCCAATACACTATAGCTCATCTACCAATGTGTAACGGTTACCTACAGATGGGTTGTGGGTTGAAGGCATCTTATTTCCCAAATATAAAACTTCTGATGCAGTTCGGTGGTAATTTTGAATGCTGGATTTTTACACCATGCTCAACATTACACCAAATTCATGCTTTTGTTACTTTCATGTTATTCAGCATTCTACACGTCAAGACAGAATCCATTTCTGACTAAAATAACTACCAAAAAGTCCCAGCAGACCTTTAAAGATCTATTGTAGCGAATCAGCTCATGGGGAAATATGAATAATTAATCATAACTAGTTATAATTAATTATAAATATTTAGATCCGCTGTAGATATTTACTTGACCTCTCAGGGTCAACTGTCTTGTCAATTCTAAGAACGTTAATTTCCTGGTTAAGGGAAATAACTTTCTTACTGTACAACTCTACAAAGAGCTTGTAGCATAAATCTGTACACATGCGTTGTTTCGGTTCGCCTGAATTAAACTTTTTTTTTCTTCTCCTGCAGCTGCAGAGGTTTTCAGGGTTTTGAGGGAGCTGACTTGTGAAGTGTCAAGCAGAAGGCTTTGGCTCCCTTCTCCCCCCTTCGTAGCTGTGTACAGGTGTGAAGGGGCTTGCATCCTATGAATTAATTAGTAGAAAAGTCCATTTCTACTGTGCCTTGTGCCTCTTGCGATGGAACATGCAGTGATTTTCCCTGCTTCGCATTCCATTAGGTCGTAAAAGTATCTGGTGTCAGGGTTGCCATGGTAACCAGGGTCCTGGGCCCTGTTCACATACAACTTGGCACCCAGTATGTTTATTGGGTGAGGGGTCTGTGAACATTTGTTAATCTAATGAATAACTGATTTGTTAAATCAAATGAAAAATTGTGTTTTTGATTGGTCCAGACGCTACATCTACGTAGATTGTTTAAAAATTCACTCTAGATTCATTAGCTACCAAGTTGCTTAAACCTTGAGAACCAGTCAATTAGTGCCGAAATGTTCTTTGTCTAAAAAAAATCTAAATCCACAGCTTTATTATTTTATTCTGTAGCTCAACACCAAGGTCATTGGTTTCAATGCACAACCATGAATGCACAGTAAATCACTTTGGATAAAAGTGTCTGCCAAGTGTAAAAATAGTAATGTAAGCTATTGATTAAAGGTTTGGGGTTAGCAAGAAAAGAATAATACTTTTATTCAGCAAGAATGGATTAAATTGATCAAAAGTGACATTAAAGACATCTATAATGTTACAAAATAAAATAAATGTTGTTCTTTTGAATTTCTAATCATCAAAGAATCCTGAAAAAAATGTCACATTTTCCACAAAACTTTTACATTGATAATTATAAGAAATGTTTCTTGAGCAGAAAATCAGCATATTAGAATGATTTCTGAAGAAACCATTGAAGACTGGAGTAATGATGCTGAAAATTCAGCTTTGCCATCACAGGAATAAATTACATTTTAAAATATATTAAAATAGAAAACAGTTATAATAAATTGTAATATTTCAGTTTTACTGATTTCGTTTAGTTTTAGTTTTGATCAAATAAATGGCGCCTTGGTGAACATCAGAAACTTCTTTTCCTAAAAACTTAAAGAAATGGTACTGAAGTACTATTGAACTGCTCTGTGTTGACTTGTAAGGGTGTTGTCTAGGGCTTTGTTAAGAGGTTGCTACGCTATTCTGGGTGGTTATTGGGGTGTTTTGGGTGGTTGCTAGAGAGCTGCTCTTAACTTGTAGTTTACTAACATACAGTAGATTATATAGGTTTCTGGTCCAGCCTCAACGGTCCATCCCAATCCAAACAGACACCTGAGATACGAAAAGCCTAGTTATATCACATCAAAAGACACTAAAAAAATGCAAGTAAAAAATAGTTTTTTTAAACTCAAGTCTATCTTAGAACAATACACATGGACACTACAGGGCTTTCATTTCAAACAGTTGCATGAAATGCTTGTGGGCACAACAGATCCTTTCATTCATCCCACTCTCTATCCATGATGGGGGTCTGACTTTTACAGCTGACTTCCACTTCAAAAAAAATGGTCTTTCATGTCTGATTGCCAGTTCACCTCGTCAACCT